CGCTTATTGGGCGCCAACGGGTCCAGGACCGCGTTCTGGGCGCTTATCGGCCTACTTGGGCGCTTACTGTGCCGGGAATGCAGCGGAGGGTTCCCGGCATCATATAGTTAGGCTGGACTCTGATGCCGGACCTTTTCTAGATAGAAACCAGACTCCTTCTGGACCATGACATCATTCTGACATCATAGGTAGGAGCTAGGCTCAGGCACTAGGCCATAGGCCGGTCAATTCTGGACCCTAGGCCCAGGGCAGGGCAGGGCCAGACTATGACATCATATATGACATCATAGAGCACATGATACTTAGTAATCCTTACCCAGCTAGGTACCAGGGGTCCATTACCGGTCCCTGGGGGGTTTTCCCTCATGTATATAAGGCAGCATCCTGGGGCACCCTGTCCCCCAGTTCTATTCACTTCGTTGTTGCGCTTAACAGCATTACCTCCCCATACTTAAGTGCTATTATCTCCCCCCCTCAATATCAAGCTATAAGGTGGGTTTGTAGGTTTTGTGATAGGCCCGCTGATTGACCGCCTTTTTTGGTGAGCTGATTATATTTACGTCCGCATAGAAGCCACTTACTACATGTATGTTTACAACGCCAATGCCACACAGAGTGCATTCATCTTCTCGCAAGTCTTGAGATCGCGCTACTGCAGCTTGCAATCCTGAACGTCTTGAGCGTTCCGATGGCGCTCGTGGTGGAGGTCGTCGTTATTGTCATCTGGGTGCTGATCTTCGTCCTTCGAGCCATCGCGTGGCTCGGTCACTTGCTCGCCTGATAAGTGCGCCATGTCTGAAACAACCTATCAGGACGGCTCGTTCGATAAAAGGACACACTTACTATTACTAGTCAGTGGCAAGATGCCACGGACCTTGCGCAAGTGAGCTGCGCCGAAACCTAGCTTTTGACTGGCTTGTTCTAAGCCCAAACCGCCAAGCTCAGACTCATGAGTCGCTCCTGCAGCAGCCGGAACACCGGGTCGTGCGGCTATAGCATACGATCGACTGCGGCGCGCAGCCGCTCCTCCTCCTCTTGTGCATCTACATTTGCACCGCCGAGCTGACGACACACGCGTACGACCTAGTCTGCAAGGTTCACAAGCTTTGTGCCAGCAGCACCAGGATCCAAGTTAATCTCCGCTTTCAGGAGCATCCGAGAGACTTGTGACATAAATGTGCGCCCATCGCCGTCGCCGGCTGCCTCTGAGTTGAGGCTTTCTGCATAGACGGACGGCAGGCGGACGAGGGATGTGGTGATGACGAGTACTTGCAGGTGAGAGGCAATACGACCAAGTTCGGCACACTGGAACCGTCCCGACGCGCGCTCATACATGACCACCCGACGCCTGCGTTTTGGGGCGAGCTGGCCTCAATGGCGCCCAGGCTGCGGGGCTTTGACATCACGCTGTACGCAATGCAGCGGGACGACATACCTGCGATGCGGGAGCGTTTCATAGAGAATCTGTGACGGGCGCGCTTCATGTGCCAACGTGGCGCTGACCGCTAGCTGCGCGATAAGCAAGAGCAAGTGTCTCCGACCCTCGTGTCATGCCTCTCGCTGTGACACGTCGCGTTGCAGGTATGCATGCACGCGCCGAGCCGGCTCTGCGGTCCAGCTACAGGCTCGACTACGCAAAGCCTGACATAGCGACATTCAGATCTTGCGGTGGCGGCCATTGTGGGCGGCGTCCCTTGCATACGCGTGCACATGGTGGATGTTTAATGTCCCCTTGGAACATTATAGAGCCAGTCCTGATATGCGTACTAGGGTCAGCCAAATATCATGCATGCCAGCAAGCATCGACTAACTAACCTATAACTGCAGAGCAGTAGACTTCTGAAGGAGCGAATATGAGGCCGAGGGGTCCCGGGTCGTCGGACGCCGTTGTGTAAGGACGAAGACTTCGGTAATGTGAAGACATCCAACGCCTTTTCAAGGGAGTCCCGATGAGTATTCCGCAGCGGATTGTGTACCGGGCGTCGTTGGTGCACGCACCTGAGACACATCGCAGCCGCGGTGAGGATGTGGAGCGGGATACTTCAATGTGGACGGGCCATTGAATTGATGACGGACAACAGAAACAAACGTTTGTGCGCATATGGCGTCGTTCGGTCAGAGCCATCCTGGTCTTGTCCAGCCTCGGTTTCGTCCTCTTCATGTCATTCCTCTGCATATGGCAGCTGCTGTAGCTCGGGCGTATATAGTGGCAGTGCAGCTGCGAAGCGAGCCCTGGGACGTGACTAAAATGCAGGTGTAGGTGTCAACATCGCCGAGGGGGTAGTGCTATGGAATCGCAGGTCTCCTCTTTGTATTCAGATTGTGTTGATGCGTCAGATGAGTGCCACGAGAAAGCGTGTCCATGATCCATCTTGTCGCGCGATTGGCCCTCTTCGCTCTGAGTCGTCTACGCTTCATTTACCTGAGCAGTGGAGTCGTCCTGGATTATTTTTGACGTCTAGACATTAGGTGGTTCGTTAAAGATATGACAATCTGCAAAGTTGTGCAATACTTACACGACATGTTATAGTACGCTGCGATCATGCCCAGATTGAGGGATGAGACGGCCATCTTTTCTTCTACGACGATGTTAATCAAGGCTGAATAACGAGAACCACACACTTACCGATCGCGATACATTTCGAGTTGACCAAGCCGTTCAATGTATTCGCAATCTTGCTTGCTGTTACATGAGGATGCAGCGACTGACGTTATCTTCCGTTGAATGGCAAACCCGGCCCGTCATTTGAAGGACATCCAATGCAGGATAATCGACATAGCGCCGCTTCTTCCCTTCATGAGACTGAACGC